GTAATTTTCGAAATTTAGCCATAACACATAATCAAAATTTTAGACCAACCATATCACAAAGTCCCATCCAACATATAATGCCACACCACTCACAAGATGAAAATACTTATGAACAAATTATAGAACAACCCCATACCACCGCTTTTCAGTCTCAAAATAATAATTTTTTTAGCCCACGATGAGCCGACAACTTGGATCCCTACACCGATCAAATTCCCATCCAACCAACCTCACCACTCCAATCCAAATAATACCACTTTTTGCTTTTCCGCCACCCGATTTCCCCACCAGTAATGTAACATCCGGCATGAATTCCGATACTAATTCACACATCTCAGTTTTATACTCCATCTCACAACTCAATAACCCGAATATTGAAACCCCCGATGAATTTGCCGACTCTGAACCATCTCCATCAAATAATTTTCCCACCAACTCCTCAAATTTTTCTCAACCCCCTTTTCAACCCATACTACCAAATAACCCTGACCCAACCAATTCTACACCCTCTTATGCTTCCCAAGTCACTCCAACATACTCCTCACTTCACTCAGACCAATCATCTCATTCTCCAAACACCCCCCGAATCTCCCCAGAACTAGATAATTTCATTACCCTACAACAACAACCCTACCACCTTGACACCCCAACCATAAACCAAATCTCATCCACAATAGATTCATCCAACCCTCTTACCCCTACACCCTCTTCAATTTATACCGAATCATTAGCACCATCATCCACAACTACTGAATCTTCACTTAGCACTAATAGAGCTTACCGCACTTTTAAAAGAAAGTTCCCCAACCATCCTTTCCCAGCGAAACCAGGAACAGCCCGTGAATATATCAACCATCCAAAACACACTAACACAAAAGAATTTTTAGCTATCACCTTACCCTCATTTCCACAATACACCTTAAACACCCCTCACGACACTAACGAGACACGTAACTTTGTAGACGAACACGTTTTAATGCCTACCCTTCCTTGGACCTCATATTATCATTTTACTAATCCCCTTTGCTTACCTTTATCTAACACTCACATCGATATAGAACGAAATAAGGACATGCTATATCGACTCACTACACCACTAACACCTAGACAATTTACTTACATAGGATATAAAAAATCACTAAAAACATACACTGCACCCCGAGCTAACGAATATACGCTAGAATATTACGATCATAACATCATCAGAACTAACCAAGATCAGTTCTTAGACGATGACCGCTTCGCTAACCCACAAATCACAAAAAAAAATTTCATTAAAACACCATATGTATTTACACTCAATATATTTGATCGCAAATTTGACCACATCATCTCAGAAGCACTAACAGACACGCAAGCCTACGAAAGTTTTAAAGAACGCTTCCAAATATTTTCACTAACCTTTCATTTCCTTGCACCACATGAAAGAGATTTGCACTGCTCACACGATGTTATGTTGCGCACTAAACAAACTCACACATATACATATTATCGTTTTATCCAAAATCACTTCGACCTGCACACTCCCTCCAGACAACCACGCCATCGTTTTCAATTCATCAATTCCAAATACACCTCACCATTCTTTCTTAACTTCACATATTGCATTAAAGATACTAACCTTCATGGTATTCTTCGAAATTATGATCCCATAACCCAAATGTATATTTTTTGTCCCATCACCAAGACCTTCAACGCAGAAGAATCCCGACCCTTCCTTCTCCCACACGAATTTGTTCAACCTATAGAAATCCCCATTTTAGAATTCATCCACAACACTAAATTCAATCACAAATTATATAATCTAATCCAAAACACACCTTATGAGTTTGCAGTTGGCACTGAAGAACTAACCACCATTAAAGCACTTCAATTGCTTTGGCCACTACTTCAAACTAAAAATATCATCCGCATCTTAGCTAAATTACTAACAACTTCAGATCTCATCCACGACATCTTCCCCCACGGTTTCTTCCCCGACGACTAACAGGTAAGTATGAATTATACATATTATTAACTAATTAAAATAAAATTAGAAACTAACCATTCTTTATTCATGTCTTCTTTAGAATTTTAGCCTTCATCCAACGATCATCTGAAAAATTCACAAAAAAAAAAAAAAAATAGCGAACTTCTTCAAAACTGTTTAAAACCCTATTAAATTTTTGCACCATTAATTAAATAAATATAATACCAATGCAGTAATTTAATTTATAAATTTTTCCCCCACAAGCAGTAAAATTAAAATTCTATGTAGTAAATTAATAAGAAGCAAATGCAGTACTAACCTTTTGATATTTCCATTCACTCGCACAAGAATACTATCCAAACTCGCACAGCTCGCCCACGAAGAATTGTTTAAATAATGAATTTCAGTTTCAAGCTTTCACAACTCAACAACTCTAACATACGATAACAAGTTTCAAACTTTCCTTTAACCCGGTTGGAAAGGAATTATATACTGAACAAAACTAACCAATGCAGCTTACTAAACACCACAACACATAGCATAACAGCATGACTAAGAAAAAGGAAACCAACGGTACCCAAACCGGATTAACCCAGTTTAAAACTGGATAATTTATTCTTTTGAAGACTATTATAAAGTCTAAGAAAGAAATAATAAAACACAAAAAAGTCGAAAGACAAACCCATACCACAAACAATTTGATTTTTGAAAAAAGGACACAACCAACAAAACATAAGAAAAACCACAACAAACCCAACATAAAACGTTGTCACATAACAGGACCTCTCACAAAAACCGCATGCAATCATACTCCCACTCCTGGCCTAACCCACCAGGAAGGACGTCCTGAGCATGCTCTATAGCCGGCCTAACCCACCGTGCTACATCCACGCTTTGTGACCACACTCCTATTTTTAATAAGAGCTACTCAAGGGTGAGTAACTCTTCAAAATAACTGAACTAAAACAAAAAGCTTTTGTGAAAACAACTAACTAAAATCATAATTAAAAAATATTAAACTAATAAAAGTTTTATAAAATGTAAATTACATTATGCAATACATAGATCAGAATACAACACCAAGGACGAACATCCAAAGACAAAACGACCTCACTACACTCGAGAAAGAATGGCCAACTACAATCAATATGCCGCTCACAATCACAACTCAAAGGATTTAGAGTACGACTTGACTTCGCAGAAAAGGACTTCATTGAACTAGACCAATGACCACCTCGATGTTCAAGTATACGTACAGATCCGAGTAACCAGGCATCCCCTCCACGCACAATCTCCACGCCATTCCTAGACAAGATCAAAACACAAAGAAGTTCTCATCAATGAAACAGAAAAACCTGATATAGCCAACCATTCTGAAATCAGATTTGAGTTTGTTGCGAAAACCCAGTCGTTGTCTTGAGAAGACACAACGATTGAATCTGGGACTTCCCTAATAAGAAAACCCAGAAGAAATAAGATGTTCGCCAAATACCAACGTCCATCATCCATCCTTTGAATTGCAGAAAGACTATTCTAAAAAACTCTGTAAAACCCGGATGGGTGGAACCTGATCTAAACTACATTTTATGATTGGATAAATTAGATATTTTACCAATGTAAAGTATTTAATATTAACCAATCATGATCCATCTGACTAACAATCCACTTATTTGTAAGTGCTGAAATTACTTGTAATTTCAGCACCAGAGAGATTTGAATTTAACTTAGAAATTAGTTGAACTCTCCCGAGTACTTCAGCAGCCGCAATAAACCAGTATACCCTAGATCTATTGAGCCTAGCAGAGACTAGTTAAACAACCTGAGACTAGATAGTATAAGAGTAAGATTAGGATCGGTATTAGACTAAGAAGTTGCACGAATCTATCCGGCCGAAAATAAGATAGCGTGACGAGCAGACGGTGTACCCTATCCGAAATTACTCTATGAGTTATACCCTTCGGTCATAACTCACAAGGACAAAGAACAAATAAGTGTGCCCCATTATAATGTCAACCTTTTGACACAAGACAACAATTTTCAAAATTACTTTTATGTGGACAATTTTGTGGGCAGCGGTGATTCTCCAGACGTGCCCAATGCTATTTTGACTAGTTTCAATTCTGAATGTAGTCTAGAAAAGTTTGTGGTCAACTTAAGCCAAGTAGCAAATGATGAAGACATGGTCGGATCGGGTGGACCCGATACTTTTCTGCATCGCAATCGTTGCCCGATCATTTGTGCACAAAATCGTCCGGGTACTGCCAGTACTACGGATACCAAGAAGGACCTGGTCAAGTTTGGACCCGCAAAACTGGGTAAAGACGAGGACGGATCGGGTGGAACCGATACTTTTCTGAATCAGTATCGTTGCCCGATCATTCTGGAAAAAAATAGTTTGGGTAATGCCAGTACTTCAGATACTAGAGTGGGCCTGGTCAACTTTGGACCTCCAAAATGCGGTGAAGACGTGGACCGATGGGGCTGAACAATTACTTTTCTGGGTCGTTATCGTTGCCCGATTAATTGTGCAAAAAATGTCCGAGTTCAATCAGAACTTTGAAATTACAACAAAAAGTCCTCAGCTGGTCAACTTCAGCCATCCAATAGAAGTGGAAGATGTGGAGCTAGAACCGCGGAGTAAAGTTTTTCTGGCTCGTAATCCGTGCCCAATTAACCTGCAAAAGAATGAACCGGCCGCTGCAATCTTTCACACATGTGGTCATTTTCCGATGGCAATTACAACACCTTCCCGACAGATAACTACAATTGTTAGCAAACAACATGAATCGCGTTATTCTGTTTATTGAATTGCCCCCATTTATTGCCCCCAGGGGGAAGGCCCCTTTTATTTACAATTGGAATCACCAGCAAATATATTTTCTCAAAGGTAAACCTGAGAATTCATCATAGATAAGAACGCCGTTCCCCCACCGCTCAAAAAAGACTGTTTTCCTTAAATGTGTTTCTCAAACAAAGAGTAAGTGTAATTTTCGTTCATGTTATTTCAAACAAATGACATTCCTGTTTGGCTCTAGTGTTAAACTGGCTATTCACTCTGTCAAAGCTTCCGGCACGGTCGTACTAGTTGGCATGGGACCTTACGATGAAATCAAGATCCCTGTGATGACCATGTCTACAAGAGAGATCGATATTAGAGGCATTTTCCGATACGCTAATTGTTATCCGGCTGCTTTGGAACTTGTGAAATCAGGCAGGAGCGGTTCAAGGATACTGATGTTCACGGAGTCAGGTTATCCGGAGTATTATACAGGGTGGCCACGATGTCAGTGCCTGGCATGAGATTTCATGAGTGGCCACCCTATAAAAGTTTCAGGGTAAATTCGGAAACCGTTCGTAATATATATTTTTTAATTTACTTTTCGTCTTCGTTTTGATCTTGATTGCCTGGTTTTGGAACTTCCTAGAAATTCTAAAACTTTTGCTTTCTGTCCAGAAATTTAAGTTAAATGGTTTTTTGGGCGCGTCCAAACGTTTCTGTAACTTTTTTTTGGTTTTAGAATATTTTTTTATAAGCCATTAATATTCAATTCAAAATTCCGGGAAAAAAAGTTAGTGAAATAGTCATCTTTTTTCACGTAAAAAGTTTCGAAAATGGTCAATTATTTGTGAACCGCCCCTGAAATCAGGAAAAGTGGATATCAAGAAATTGGTGACTCATAGGTTCCCTATTGAGAAGACAGTGGAAGCCTTTGAGACAACTCTGAGAGGGGAGGGCATCAAAATCGTCATCAATTGCTGATTGGGCGACGTCTCATTGGAGGCCAGTATACGAATTGTCTATCGGAACCTTCATAGAAAAACTGATTGTCTAATGCTTTATTTATGTTTTAAGATATCAAACGCATTACGTGACGCATAGAGAGATTATATATAAAAATTTATATTTTAATTGAAGTTTTTCTTAACGATGAAATGATTCATTTCATTGTCTATTTTTCACAAATTAAAGTAAAATTGTATGATATTGTTTGACATCTTTAATTTTTTTTTCCAGACTTTGTTTTCATGTAGCACGCATACCTGGCTCAAAGATTTCCCATGCTGCTTTTATACTAATTTATTTATTTACACAGACTTTAATTTCGCAATTAAAAGTATTCTCAGATGAACTCTGAATAAAGTAAAGCTCTTCTTCATAAAACTCGTCGTCTTCTCCTCCAGAACAAAAAAAATACCCAAGGTTACCAAAATGTAGTATATTTCACGCTTCGACATGAATGTTAACCGTTGTTTGTCTTGATGAAATATCGCGTTCTCGTTAAAATTGTCAATGACTTTTTTCGTGACCTATCTCCCGTGTGTTCAATCACTTCGTGAAAGGTCATAGGTTGAGAGTATGCTGACGAAGACTGAATTAAGTTAGCTCTCCATGAAGGTTAGAAAACATCCAGTAAAACGTTTTATTCCGCAATGTCTTCGCGAATATGGACCCTACCGTATCGTGAAAAGTTTAAAATACCGAGGTAAAGACTTACTGTGTGAGATGATATTTGACAATAAAAGGTTTGAAAAAATTCAAAACTTACCATTTAAATATTTTATACCGGGTACATTTTATTCATCCCTGTATTGCAACTAAATATTGTGAAATTTTTTTCGACGACTTTTCCATAAGTGATCATAAACTGTTCTAAAAGTTCTTTTTTACTTCGGCAAAAAATGAGGGTGAACTATTGGAATTGGTGCTTGGAAGCTGTATAATCTTATAAAACGTGCCAAAATACTGTGTGCTGAATATAAAACTGGTTGCATCAAAGCTATAGGAAAAATTAATCATTTAAATGTTTTTTTTTACCTTGAAATTACCCAAATTGAACGGATTTAAAAGAGTTTTTCGAAGGAAAGAACAATTGCATCGAAAATGTAAGAGTACCATCGGAAAAATATGGTACGCACATATACTTTCGACGGTACCCTCACATTTCCGTGTAGACAAACCTTTACATTTATATATAAAGTGTCCAAAACAAGCCCATGGTCAAACTATACTAAGGTTTGAAGCCAGAAAACATGGTCTCGAAAAAAGGGGAAAGAACACAAAATAAAGCTTTTCCCTTAAATCCGTATGATCCTGTAAATTATGCCAAAAAACTTTAAAGATTGCGTTGAATACGAAAAAAAACATATTGTGAATTTGTATCAATCCTGTTGTTCACACTGAAGAAAGAGCAACCGCGGGGAACACGATTGGAACCAACGGAACTCCTCTATCTGAGGACTGGAAAAAAACAGTTGATCCTCTGATTTCCTCAATTCTTACAGAATTCGGAAATAATTATTACTAATTAGTAACTTACCTGCAACGAATTGTTGATTACGTACTGCTTGCTACGGAATACGGACAAAATCCCCCCGGACAAATATCCCCGGACACAATTCTCCTCGCACCCACCCCCCCCCCCCCCCCCCGGATAAAATCCCGTCCGACCTGGACAAAAACCCCTTTCAAATTCTTCGTGATTATGGTGAAAGTCAATACACCTCGCGAAGCGCGCTGAAGGGGCTAAACGATTGAGGACGAGCACCCTTGCGGCGGGAGAACGACGTCAGAGGATTGGACACTGAAGGGGATTTTGTCCGGGTGTGGGGGGATTGTGTGCGGAGGGATTTTGTCCGGTGGATTTCGTTCCGGGGATATTGTCCGGGATTCGCTGGCTACACAGTTCCGACCAGGGGCTGTCCATAAATAATTGCAATATATATATTTGTTTCAATATGAATTGAATTTTTCTGGAAATATACAATAAATAATGCAAAATTGTTTCTATTTTTACAATGAAAATATGGATTTAGTCTCCATCACGTTTTTTCCGACCATTTTTGACTATTGTCACAGTTATCAAACGACTAGTGCTTCGGATTATGGAAGCACTTGATGCAATCCCGCACATCTTTGCACAATTTTGAACGTTTTTTGGCATATTTTATACGGTTATATGGCTTTACGGGAAAATATCTTGGAGTTTTTTTGACAAAATAGCGTCATTTTATTTGATTTTGGGATTACTTGAGAATCTCCTCATTCATCTTTGCAATGGTACTATTATAATGTTGATGAAATTGTTTTTTCCCTCGGAAAAACGTGTCTTTTTCGCCCCATTTTGATAGTTTTTAAGTAAAAATTTAGAAAATTGTATCTAAGTGACCAACTAGTATTGCTATTGGCTTTGAGTCATGACTCTTTAGTCAGTACATTTCTTTACAGTTTTATGGAATGATTTATAGGATTATGCAGCTTTGGAGGTTAACATCTTATCGTTTTTCATCAAAAAGTCTATTTTAAACCAGTTTTTAAAAGTACAGCTTATTGCTTTATTGATCAAAAACTACTTAAAGAAATGCAGCGAATCATAGTCTCAATCACGTTTTTTCCAACCAGTTTTGGGTAAAAACACAAACAGGTTTCTAAGCAAAATTCTGAGCGATAGTTCAGATGAAATAATATAGTATGTCAAAAGACTAAAAAAACGGGTGAACAAATAGAAAACGCTTTAATCCTTTCAATTGTTCAAAGTTCATTTCACTTACACAACGAATTTTCGATTTGCATTCAATCGTTCTAAAATTACAAACGGTCTCATTCGTCCTAAAATTTTCCTAAAAACTCCACGAAGCCGTTGGGAACGATTATGCAGGGTAATGTCTGTCGGCTCGCCACAGACTGTGTTGGAGGCTGTTCTACATTTATTTCGCACTATTGGAGCCCTATTATAATCGTTTTGAGACAATTACACATGTTGTTCAGTTAGGGTGGGGGTCTTTGTTGGGGATGCTACAAGGACAAACCCAAAAACCCAGACAGAAGTCGCGAACACAAACTTTGTATTATAGTTTGAAACTAATTTTTCGCTTCGCTCAAATTCGTAAAGAGAGTTTCCAGGCAATTACGACGGGGTACCTGTGATCAGGGGTAAAAAAATGTTATTTAAATAATTGGCAATGAATAAATATAAAGAATTTGTTTCGTAGATTGAAAAATGCAAATAATTTATTTTTCTCATACAATAATCGTAAAGTGACAGACAATTATTTCAGTTTCTTTGGTCTCCAGTTTCAAATGGGTAAAACCTACTTCGAAATTGTGTTGAAAGACTGTTTATTACCGCAAAGGCTGTCCATAAAGATTACAGAAAAAGTTCGAGTCCAATCAACTTGGAGGCACAGATGTCCTTGCAAAAACAAACAAGAAATATTGGGACAAATTGACTATTTCCGAAAAAATGGGTTTCATTCACAATAATTTATGATAATTAACAACAATTTATTCTTGAGAACAATCTTTTTTTTCTGTATAGAGCAATACAAGTATTTTCATTTAAGGTAACAATAAACATACATTACATTATTTTACACCCCTGCCTGTGATTTTGAACAAGCCGTTTTAGTTTGGGACCGCGAAAAAGGGAGATTCTATCGCTACAAATTAAAAGCGTCGGATACAAGTAAAAAAAAAATTTTTTGAAGTGTTTACTCTTCGTGTTCTTAATTTAGCAATCTGTAACTTAATAATAGATTATCTATCTATTTTTTTTTCAAGAAAAACATATTTTTCATGACTCAGTAAGACTAATAAGACCCAAATTTGGGTCACGTTGGGAGACGAATTGTCAACAAGAGCCTAAAATACAGTATTTTATTCTCGATATTTCCCCCTCGTTTATTACAAAAAATTATGTTTTGGAAGCCATATCACGTAAAAGTATGTAAAAGACATGTAGCAAAGTGCATGTGATACTTGAATAAAGCCGGTTTAATCACACACAAGTTACTTGGCATAAAAACACAATGTGGCCGCGGGGTTAATTAACTCAGCTATCTTCACAAACGCTTGACTTGACACACAACAATTGAACAAAGGAGTTGAGAGGCGTGTGTTTTTCGTGACGTCAATCAATTCAGCCTCGATCTGTGAAGTTATATATGCTTTAAGTTTATGCCTGCTGGTGAAGTGTAAGAGCCAGATTAGCTACTGAGATATCGAGCTACCATTTTAATGTTAAATAGAAGTTTCTAATCAATACCCTGAGACGAATAAACCAACCAACTAGTTAATAATTATAGTAACTAACATTAGCCATAAAAGTAGCAATTAACCTGCTGGCTTCATAGTTCCGACCAGGGCCGGGGTGAATTTAGTGGGGAGGAACTGGGTCTAGTGATTTGCTAGGAAAGCAGTTCCGACCAGGGCCAGTCAATAAATAATTGCAATATAATTTTTGGGTTCCAAAAATTATTGCATTTTATTGAAAATGAACAATAAATATTGCACTAAAGCAATTATTGATTCAATTTTTACGATGAAAAAATGCAGTTTCAAAACTTGAACTATTATATTTAAGTCCAAAAGAAAATTTCTAGAAAAAAGTGGCGACGAATCATAGTCTCCACCAGGTTTTTTCCCGACCATATTCAGTATAAACACGAACGTTCGAACTTGTCCGATGTAGAAACATTCCGACCATTGGAAAACCAGCGTGAATTGACACCCTCAACCACAACCATGCCTAACCTCAATGACAAACTTTTTGCTATGGCTTCGAATCAAAATTTTTTTGGCACATATGTTCAGTTTTTGGCAAAACTTATAGGATTATACGGCTTTAGGGGAAATCATCATTACGTTTTTCATGAAAACAATAGCTGCTTATTCTTTTCAGCTGTTGTTTTCTCTTTTTCCTAGCCTTCAATGTCTATACGGTCGTAAAATTTGTAATTTTTTTCAAATTTGAAGATAAAATATTTCAACCAATGTCAATCAGAGGGCAATGGCAAATCGTTTCCTGATATTGCAATGAAATTATCCTTCTAATTTTTTTAATGCCAAGAAACAAGATTTCCTTTTGTCGATGTTTATATTGCTGCATCACGGAGATCGTTTGGCGAGCAATAAGTTTTTCTTGGCTCTGCTCGTCATTTTGTCAGTTCCGAATTCTGTAAAATCAGAGGATCCAACTGTTTTTTTTCCAGTCCTCAGATGGAGCAGTTCCGTTGGTTCCACTCGTGTTCCCCGCGGTTGCTCTTTTTTCAGTGTGATCAACAGGATAAATACAAATTCACATTATGTTTTTTTCGTATTCAACCCGATCTTACAGAAACAATGATTTTTCGAGGTTTCAGGAAACAATTGTCTGCCGTCTTCCGGAAGAAATTGTTCGTAGAACGTTTAAAGCCTTTCTACATCGGCGGAATTTGCCTGCAAAGTTGTTCAAAAAAACGTCTGCGGTAGTTCGTTAGTTTCAGAGTCCGAGGAATCCGTCACCCAACTGAAAAAAGTGAATGTTATTTGCAAACTTCGCGCATAGAGGAAAAGTTACGAATTCGCAGACATATAGAAACGTTCAATTCTATCGCACATTTATATATCGAACTGAACATTGTATTGCATTTATGCATTATTTCAACCACTTTTTGCGTCAAACATTATATAAAGAAGTCAAATATCTAATGATAGCTCTTAACTGAACCCATTGTTCGAAGTTAACCATTTTGAGCAATAATAGTTGACGCTAGCGTCCGAATGAGCTCGATCCTCCCAAAAACAGACAAAAAGACAAATGTAGCAGAAACTAATTCAACTCTTTATATACAAAATACTGTACAAGTACTAAATAGAACAAATTTACAAGTGAGCAGGAGAATATGTTATTTGCTAGGCAATAATGAGTTAAGGCTTTGCGAGATCATGAAAATGTCAGCAAGAGACCGCTGTTGTTTCCCAATATGGGTTATGGGAAGGCGTGTCTCGATTGGTTGAGAAATGGTCAAAGAATTCTGCAAAAACTAGAAGACTGCCGTGTTCTGGTGGCCGAGACAGATTCATCCGAATGTCCAACAGCTCCAACAACGGTCGATTGAGCAGTCTCCTCTGCAAAAGAACTTCCAGCTATATATAGTTATATATAACTTAAGTTATACAGGGTTGTTAGAGTTAGGGTTAGGTTTTTTTCAAACGATAAAAAAACATGTTTTAAACACGATTGAAAAAAAAACATGTTTTGTTCCCTAAGAATGGCAAAACTAAAGGAGCTAAGGGTTTTCCCATACGTTTTTGTACAGTTGCATGGCAGTTTTACAATTTCAAAAGCTAGTTTCATACCAAAATTAGCGCAAGGTATATTACGCAAATCTCTTTTTAAAGATACTTTGGGCAAAAACGGATGGTAGATTTGCTGTTATCTGCCATTCTGTGGACTCCTTTTCGGACGAATGGTCAAGTATAACACCCGGCAGCAAAATCGATAAACTACTTTTTACTCGTTGGTATAAGTAAGTTTTGAAAAAAACTTGTTCTTTCCGAAAAAAACATATAAAACAGTCGAAAATGAAAATAACTGATTTATAAAACAACCCTGAAGTTATATAAAACAATTATAATAGAATAAACAAAAGTTGAACATTCACGATTAGAGAGAACAAATATGGCGTTAATCGTTGAAATAAAAGTTACCATTTCCCGTCGGAGAAGATGGAAGCACATGTGTTTGTTGTGTCTGCAAGCGATTCTTGACAATCTCCATCACAGCACGTGTACTTTTCAGATGTGGATGATTGTCGGGCAGTGTGTCTGTCCATATGTTCATTGCTTTAGTGAAACAATCCAGGGCTAAATGCAACTCGCCAGTGGTTCCATAAAGACAACCCATGTTGTGGTAAGAGGCGGCCACATCCGGATGCCGCTCCCCCAGTGTCTCTAGTCTGATGTCAAGACTCAGCGTGTGCAGACGGAGAGCCTCTTTGTGATTGCCCATATCATCGTGCGTGTTGCCCATGTTGCTGTAAGAGGTGGCCACATTCGGATGCCGCTGCCCCAGCGTCTCTAGTCTGATGTTAAGACTCAGCGTGTACAGACGGAGAGCCTCTTTGTGATTGCCCATATCATCGTGTGAGATGGCCATGTTGTTGTAAGAGTTGGCCACACTCGGATGCCGCTCCCCCAGCGTCTCTAGTTGAATGTCAAGACTCAGCGTGTACAGACGGAGAGCCTCTTTGTGATTGCCCATATCTCTGTGCGTGTTTGCCATGTTGTTGTAAGAGTCGGCCACATCCGGATGCCGCTCCCCGAGTGTCTCTAGTTTGATGTCAAGACTCAGCCTGTACAGACGGAGAGCCTCTTTGTGATTGCCCATATCATCGTGTGAGATGGCCATGTTGTTGTAAGAGTGGGCCACATTCGGATGCCGCTCCCCCAGCGTCTCTAGTTGAATGTCAAGACTCAGCGTGTACAGACGGAGAGCCTCTTTGTGATTGCCCATATCTCTGTGCGTGTTTGCCATGTTGTTGTAAGTGGAAGCCAATAACTCGTGTTTTTCACCGAACTTGCTTGTCCGTATTTCTACATACCGCTGGTAATGATGCAGAGCGTCACTCCTCGTCTCAAGCTGTTGACACACGCAGGCTGAAGCAAGAAATATGACAGTAACACTTTAGTCATTGTTTGTAAATAAACTACGAAGTTGTTGCTAACAGCTCAAACAACTACACTTTTTGTTCAACGCGAGCAAGCAAATCAATGTCCGTACATGTAACATGTACCATTATATTTTCGTGATGAGAAATTTCATAAATGAGTTTATACGACTGTTGTACAGAGTCAGGGGGAGAATAACAGAAAGTGGAAATCGTTCCAAAAAAATCGATTATTTTTGTTGGTTTAGAAACGTCTAGGGGTGTTTATACAACCCTCCCAAAGCATGAAATATCAATTCTGGACCATTTGGGGTTTCAGAAGAACCATTCCAGTGTCGCCTGACCAAAAACTGCCATATTAGTAGATTCCAAATTTGATGGTTCTTTTTAAAATTCTAATTTTTACTATTTTCCTTTTCTAATGAACTTTCTGACCTAAATATCACTATATATCACCAGTGTACCTTTATATTCATAATTAAAATTGAATTTAAGCTAATTTTTTTAATTTATTGCTTAAAGTACCCCATACTATAAATTACAAATAATTCATTTCAAAAGATTTAAAATCAACGGGAAGTAAGTCAATCCACTCAGAAGATAACGCATTTCGTCTAAAAGTGCTTGGCCAATAAATTTCGAAATGGGCTGTAAATTTTTGTACAAATTGTTGCTAAGTGATCAGCGCGCGCTAACCAACAACGTCATTCTAACCGTTATTGAAGCCTGTTACAAGTATTAAAGTCAAGTGATCGAAAACCCACAGTTTGTTCAAAAATACTCATCCACTGACTTTTGAGAGTTTTCGAATGTCGAAAAGTGACATGCTAATCTTTTAACTTTTATAAACTTTTCTTGACCAAAATAAGTCTTCTAAAATTATTAACAAAACAGCCAAGCACGTCTCGGTGTTATGCGCAATCGAACCAATTACTAATGTGTGAAAAGTCAACTGCTGCATTTTCAAAAAAGAACAAGATCCCTTTCCAAAAAAACTGTTTCCTGTCGTGTCAAACATTGGCTAGGTTGACACACAAGTTAGAAATGGCGTAAGCCAGTGGCACTTTGTGTGCTTATATCCAGGGTACGGCACAATCATATTTATATTCTATTGCAATAACTTATCGTTGTTGAAAGTTGAACTTTCGTCGTGCAATAAAATACTGCCCCTTGAATGATTTCTGCAATACAACATGCAATATTTCTGCAGATGGTTTTCAAAAAAAGTTTAGTGAACAAGTGTTTTTATTGTATCGATATCCCAAAATTTTGTGTTGTAGTGCTACATGTAATACAACTGAAGTTCCAAGTTAGTAGGTAGTACTACTAGTAGGCTCTTCCTATAATCCTTGTAAGTTTATCCAGCCGTACTGAAAAACCGTTCCGGGATATTCGATGTCGGGCTGATGAAGCTGGTTTCCATAAAGGCACATGTCAAGACCAGCTCTTTTTAAATCGAAAATATTGCAATTCATTGAACTGTTTTGTACCAATATTTTGCAATACCAATATGTTTTTGCCATGCCCTGCTTATAGCCCACAGGTGGACAAAGTTTGAACAGAAATTTGTGTCCGACTTACCGAGGGACGTTCGTAAACTTCAGACATTTCGAAAACAAACACACTATTCTAGCCTTCAAAGATCCACAAAACCCGAAAAAATGACCAACATTTTGAACCTCTTATACTTTTGTTCGATGGTTGTTTTCACGTTTCGAAAACGTATTTCGCACGACTCGTAGGCCAGCCTTCGGAAACCACTTTATTTTTAGAAGTGAACTATTCTGATTTTTCATTTTACTCAAATTCAGGGCTTTGGACTACAAGGAAGAGTTGCGATAGACTGGCGACATCTTACGTTGTTTATGAAATGTCTGTCTAGTTCTAATTAATTCAAGATACCCACGGACCCATTCGTTTTACCACCAGTAGACTTCGTCAAAAAGTCAATTCCGAAAAAATATATATTTTGAATCGCGTTTGAACCTATTTTTTGTACTTCCAACGAGACTCAAAGCGTGTTTTCAAAGCTTCCATCGCCGTTATACGCCTTATTAGTTACTTATATGCATGGTCATGTGTGTTGAAAGTTCAAAAACAGAATAACTAACCCGAACGTTAGAACAACGAAAGTTTTACTTTTTATTAAATTCTGGTAACAGTTTTTTCAACAAGGTCACTGTTCGCCAGTGTTGTACTCGCTCAAGTTGTTTACGCTTATCGCTATCTGCGCTTTTTTAGCCTCCGCTTATCGCTTCGTCGCTTATGCTTAAAGCGCTTACGCGCGACTTCGCTTATTTGAAAAATTTATAACGTGGGCGTATTTTGAAATAAGCCATGTGCCTTTGGTCATTCAGCAGCTGAATTTCAGCTCGAAGTAGTTGTAATAAAAAACAATGTTAAAGTGTCGCTTGCGCTTATATTTCGCTTGGCCTCCTAAGCGTCTACAACACAGGTGTTGGCGTCTGAAATTCATTGCCACCATTAAAAAAATTCTGGCCATGAATGTACTGTACGTAAGCATTTGATACGTTATCTGAGAACGTTTTCCCTGAGAACGTTTAAAGCGTAAAACTTCGTGCCTCTGTATAAATTGTTTTCAGTATTGCAATCAGGGTTCGAAATACTCTGAAATTTTTGTATCGCATAATTGCGAATCAAGGTTGCATATTGATTCGCAATCTCCAAATTTGTATCGCAACATTTTTGAGCCGTTGAATTTTACAGAAACATTTGCAGAAACAGTAATAAGCCATGGTGCTTTTTCTCGAACTGAACTGAAAATTCGGTGTCGATGACTGCTTTTGATTCGCAGAATTGCTAATCAAAATCAGAAAGTGATTCGCAAATCCCCGATATCGATTCGCAAATTGGGATGCGATACGGCTTAATTCGAACCCTGATTGCAATTGAAATGTTTATCGCAAAAAGTGTTGTTTGAGTTTTTCTCAAAATTTTCTGCGATACATATTCAAAAGCATTATATTACGAAAGCTTTGGCAAGTCTGGGAAAGGCCACAAATTTTGGTGGAGGGGTCGAATCCCAACTCCCTAAACCCCATGATAGAATACGATTTCAAGGGGAATTCAAATATGTTATTTAGTGTTTTAATGCTAAGATTTTTTTTAATGTGCAAAAAACATTCGTAGTCCTTTAGATGGTTAAAGAGGGGAGTTCGACCAGCAAAATTTAGATGTTTTTTTTGTGAGAAAAGCTGAGAAACCTTCCAGAAAAACAAAACAGTCGTAAGCACTAACCGCTTGGCAATCAATCACTACGGTACAGAATAATTCAAGAACAGAATGATACATACCCACATCGAAATGAGCATCGTCGTCGTCGTCACCGGCCTCATCCAGAACCCGCTGTTTATGCACCAAAATCTGCTCGAGCAGGGTCTTCGATGGTGAAAAGTTACACACCAATCCGAAGACTGCCGACCTCGGTTCTTTAGCCAAGTATGCCATGCATTTGTCCACCAGCAGATCTCGCACTTTTTGCATAATTTCAGCGTTCAACTTTTTTGTTCCCACCTCTTTCTCGATAAGTTGCAGGATATTGGCCTTGTCTTCTGGTTCTGAAGCCTCTGCGTTTTTGCTGTCTATTTCTGAGTATTTGCTGACAATGAAGTCGGTGTCAGTAATGTTTTCCGCCCACGACCCGTCTTCTTCAGCCGTGAAGACGACCTCGAATGGCTTCTTGTGAGTTATAGCAGTGTGAAACTCGTAGATGCACCAGATTCTGGAGAGTGGTACCGGGTTGTCCCACGGAGACATGACCGCCACGAAATGGTCCGAGTCGCGAATCGGCTTGCCGAACACGTTTTTCAGGTAATCGGGGCTGACTGTGCCGCCATGCTGGGGGTGGACATAACAGTCGATGTAGAAATATTCGGAGGTTGATTTAGACTGAGAATATTTCAAGAGGGTTTTCAGAAAGCCGGACTAAAACACATGTTTCTTTTTGTTTTCTATCCAGTTGTTCCAAATATGAAAGATAAAACGACTTAATAGGCGCATAAGTTAACTGAACAATACTTTGCTCAGACGTATTCGAATTCTTCACCTATTAAGTAAATAGTGGTAACAAAATATTATTGAAAAACTGGATATTAAAGAAATGTTTGTTCATCATAGGCTGGCACTGGCTTAGTCGGTACATGTAACAGCGTAAAAACAACAAAATATAGAGTGGTCATATGAAACAGGGGCGGCTTTAGAACATATTCCGAGGGGTGTAAATTGTTCTAGGGGGTTCGAGTAGAGTACAGAATTTCGCGTATTGGGTCGGGTCGGGTTTAACCTTTATTGACCATGCTTTTTTAGCAGCAATAAAAGTCTAAATTACGCGTTCCTTATGGATGGCATCAGCCAAATTTAGCTTCTTTTGTTCTAAAAGTAAAGTTCGGGTCGGGTCGGGTTTGACAAACGACTGTCGGGTCGGGTTAGGGTGCGAAAACAGAGCCCAATGCACATCACTGCTTCACGGTTTTAATGCTAAAAGTAATCTAGTTTTCAAGCCATTCTAAAACGTCTAGTTATATAAACCAAAAGCCGCCCCTGTAAAAAAAAACGTTTTAATGATCGTTTTTAAACAAACACCGTTTGTTTGAAAAAAAAATTTATGTTTTTTTTCTTTTTTCAAAAACATGGTGATAAAATAATGTTTAGAAAAACTTTATTCAATTAAATTAAATCAATTGTATTGAAATCATAAAAAATCAGTTTTTCGGCTTTTTGCTCTCAGTTTTCCATACTTTACGCCCAACTTGGAGAAACGACCTTCCTAACCAGCCCTCGCAGCCACTGCTGAGACCGCTGTAATTGTTCTTATAATTAAATTAGATTCCCTGAGCTGTATAAAACACATTAAAAAACACTGTTTTGTATAGCACGCTTTTTATTCCATGTCAAAAAACGACACGTCAAAAAATGAACTCACGTGTTCGTATGTCCACGCGTGTGAAACAAAACATGTGGCTTCTGATACGAGAAGTTGGCCGGTCTCGTCCCGCTCTGAGGCATATAGGTCCACATACGCACATCCCGTGGACGCAGTGGCAGGCTTCACGATTGTTTCACACACCTGAAGACAAATGATGATAACATAGTGAAAAGCAGAGCTGTTATATATTTTTTAGTTGTTAAGATTTTTGCTATCTTTTGGGAAAAAACATGTTTTCACGAGGAGTGGTAACCACTCAGTGGTTCAATACAAAGTTTGGAAAATAGAGCATCTTTGTTTTTCTCAAATCGTCATTAGGAGCGACAACTCGTGTGCGCTTGTCTTACAGGCGCCGATGTCATTCTTTTTCGAAGTGAAAAAAAAGTGTTTGTTGTATTTCAGCCCAGATATCGACTCAACAGCTAGGTTTTTTCCTTATAAGGATGGATCGCGTTTTTATGGATATACATGAATCCTTTAATGAATAAAAAATCTCGGACAAGTACATAATCCGTTCTTCTTCTTCGAGGTTCTTCGAAGAAACAATTAATAATATTGTAATTCGAGTGCTGGATCGTTCGCTGCCGGCTTTGCTCAACCAACTCGAAGTGAAGTCCCTACCTTCTTTAAATAATGGGGAAAGACCAAAAGAGGACATGACTAGGGGTACATAAATGGGATTTCTGAGTTTATAAAGCAAACATTGAAAAAGTAAAAAAATGAAAATTTTTATTTTCCTTCACGGAAAATCTGTACTATAGATTTACTCCTAGCAAACGGTCATATTCAACAATTTCAATTAATTAACTGATCTGAATATAATTGTTTTTTAAAATCGGAAAAAATACAACTTAGATCTCGACAACATTTGTTTCAAAACCAATAATTAAAAAACGTCATTTCCGATAGTTGGAAATAGTTAATTTTCCGATATCGGAAATATTATTTGGTAAAAACCTATAGATATATGTGCTGAACAACAAAGACAGTTGCCATTAGGAAGAACACAAAAATTGGTTCCCAGCGGGACAGGAACTGCCGACTTGAGCTAGCGGAAGTAACCGATTCGGAAAAAAACTAAGATATCATTCCGTATATCTTCAAGATATCGGAATTAACAATATGTTAAACATATTTCAACCTTTTTTGACAGTATTCTTAAAATATAGCTGATAAAAGTAAAGTAAACTGCGGCAGTAAAATCAGTTTCATCCACTAACAGTGAATATGATATCTACTATATATAGCAAAACATTACTGATAGTATTTCAGATCGCCGAACATGCTAAAAGACCTTTTCCTAACTAATTGCATTTAATGAATCATTCTGGCAAAGTTTTGTAATTCCCCTTTTCCCCTACATGCAGTGATGACCAAATAAATAAATTTTATTGGAATAATCGCGATTTATTGGATGGTTATATTTCATTTATTGTTTCATTCGCAATTTATTGCATATTCGGCTTGATTTCGATGATTTTGTTCTGAAGAAAAAAATTATTGGAAAAATGCAATAAATTATTCATTCGGAAGAAATCAAACTTTCGTTGAAATTTTTCACATTTCGTATGGTGAGGCTTTTTTTTAGCTTATCAACCACCATATTTTTCATTATTTTTGCGAGAAACATACTTTCTGCAAAGCTTTAGGTTTGATTAGTTTGATGCAACCTATAAGAAAGCAGTAACACTTGAGATTTTTCACCCTTCAAACAAAAATCCAATAAAAACTAACTCATTTTTATTGTAAAGATTTATTGCAATCGCGATTTAAATCGCGCTAAAATCTGTATTTATTTATTGGTTTACTTATTGCATCCAATAAATTTCCAATAAATTTTTTTTGTCATCACTGCCTACATGTAATTGATTGCCGCTTTCTGACAAAACGTCTTTCCACTACATTTGATATTTGATGTGCCTCGATCAGCACGCAGCTGAAATCTTATTACTTTGATTTCACCGACAAGAAATTGCAAAATACGCTTACCTGAAGATCAATTGGGTTTGGAAAAAGTGAGCAAGGGGGTTAGCCGTTGGGCTTTTAGCTCAGCCGTTATTTCACAAATTAGATAGTCTTAATCACCAATTTAGCCCAATATCACGATAAAAATGTAATTGTATGAGAAAGTTTTGACCAAAGGTTTTACTTTTTGAGAATATATTCTTTCTATATATAGAAACCGTTTTCTTGAAAGACTCTTGAATGCCATAATATCGGATACTATTTCAATCAAAGGAATTTTCAAAGAAAATCAGAACTGGGATTTTTCTATTTAAAAAGGCAAATAATGACTTACATTATAATTGCAATAAACTATTGCACATTAAAATATATTGCAATGTAATTATTGCTGGTATTTTTTATTGCAATGTTTTGTCAATTGACTAATGCAAGGCCCTGATGTGAAATGCATAGTTTCCAAGTTGAAAAAAACCTGAAGATCGTACCTGATAAAGGTTCCATTGTTTTGTTTCGAGGTCATTTTCGTGAAGAAGTTTTTTGATGAGTGGAACAGAAAGTCCGAGGGACTTCGGGGGAGCTGAAGTGTTCACAGCCGGGGACACAAATTTCGTTTCTCGAGGAATGCGTGTTTGATTCATTTGAAATTCGGCAAATAAATGCTTTCGGCAGCTCAGACACTATTAAGTACATTCGTCAGAAACAAAAACCAATCTTGCATTGAGCTGAGCGTTTATATACGCAAGCGTTTATTTGTTCACAATCAAAGTTGGCTTCGGTGAAACTGTATATAGTTAGTTTCGGCCAATCAAATTCGCTGCCAACATCACGTAAAGCACAGTACTTATGTAATTGTGCGTATATACATGTAGAGAAACGTACCACTGCGTACGACTCACGTTTTCGCACAGATAAATGTAAGTAGGGACGACCATTTATGCATATAAAACCCGTACCGAACTTTTTGGCCATAATCATATCTGATCATTGTAAAATCATGCAAAATTCATGTCTGTAACAGATATGCAGCATGTCTATATTCGGCATGCACATACCTGCATCAGACCTGCATCAGGTGTGCTAACTGAAGATATGCTCACACCTGCAGCATGCATGATCATGCCTGAACTGAACATGCTCACACCTGCAGGATGCATGATCATACCTGAACTAAACATGCTCACACCTGCAGGATACATGATCATACCTGAACTAAACATGCTCACACCTGCAGGATACATGACCATGCCTGAACCGAATATGCTCAAATCGTTATCTTCAGTATTATAAGATAATTAAAGAAATGGTTGAATTGTAACAACATCATAAACTCAGCTTGATAATGTGACACTTTAATTCAAATTTTAAGTTTTTTTTTCAGATTTTTTTGACATTGGTGAAGTTTTTTGTTGAAAATTTACTGTAGCGGTTAGATGCATCTTTCTTTAATTGCCAGCAGGGAGTCGTTGGTAGCGGGGCGTGTGGATACTTTTCTCTGTTTCCTGTCAACATAAGCTAATTGTTAGTCAAAAATTCATCACTTTAAATAAATGCTTAACAAATAAAACTAGACAAAAATCATGCGTTAAAAAGTAGTCGCATATTTGTTGTTAATTTATTCAATGAGATTAGTAGTATCAACCAATCAAATCTTTTTAATTTATTCGCAATTATTGCGGCTACTGGTTCGCGAAAATTGAAGGGTTATTGGCCAAAAAATTTTGTGACGAATTGCTTCAATTCAAACCGGGGATTCTTAGTTTTTTCGACTATCCCTCCCGTTGACCCCCTGAAACTAACCTGAAGTCCTCTTTTTTGGGATGTAGATGCGACATAATTTTCTTCATTTGAAGATATTTGACTCGAGGAGGTAAATTTGGATAAGCTCATTTCAAACAAAATCTGAAAAAGTGAAATTTTTAACAAGAAAGACCAATTAGTCAAGATAAGAAGTAATGTATAAATAAATATGAATTTGTCAAGTTTTCAGTCAGTCGTTATCATGTCTGCGACAGGCATGAACATGTTTCACTCAGGTCTGATCATGTAAGATCCAGGTATGACCACGTCTGTAGAAAAATACGCATGCTCACTTGTGAACAGCCCTGCATAATGGGGGAACAGTCCTGAGAATATTCTCTCCCCTGCTAAATGGATGATCAGCCGTGAAATGGCACAAAAAGTTCAGTACGGGAAGCTACCTGTTTATGTGCGTACGTATACAAATGAAAATAAATGAAACTTTTGCTTAATTTTCATTGATTTCTAGCAAAATTCCTCCGTTTCATTACACTTTTGGAGCTCATGGTCACAAAAAGAAGCCATTCTCAGTGAATGAGCCTTTATTGCGCTAAAGAACTATGTTTGCTGTCTCATAAAACTTTCAATTTTACATGGTGGAACAAGTGGTTGCGGGTAGAATCAACTTTATTCAGAATTAATCGTTTTTGGTGCAGAATACTGGAGTTTTTTGCAGAGTTTTTGAAAAAAATGGGGGATTTATGCAACTTGCGTACGTTTTTGCGCATAGCGCAGAAAAGATGGTATTTATGCAACTTGCATGCATTGTCGTCCCTACAGATAAGAGAAAGAATGATAGTAATTTACAAGCTAGACGTTAAAAACATCGTTGAAGCACTCTTTAAGCTTAATCAGGGGTTCCTAATATGGTATGGCAATATTATGGTCCTAGAAAATTTTCAAAAATAAATAAAGCCATATATATTTTTGAAAAAATAAATAAAGGCCATAATTTTCATAATGGAAAAAAATTTCATGAACAATTGGTTCAAATTCATGACGAGAAAACAAACTTTTCTGACATATAGTAAAAAGTATTTTCTTAGTCCACTGTTTGTTCTATGACCTTCTTGACAGTGTGAACTCCCCAGAACTGCTTGTTGATCATTAGAAACATGTCTTGCTCAAATGTCTTGCTAGTTGTCAAAGTCTGGTCTCTCGGTGAGCCCGATTTCATTCAATTTTTTCCGATTTTCCCTCTCCGAAATATGGTTCAAATAATAGCAAAAAAATAAAAAAAAATAATGGTGTTTTTAATTTCTTAAAAATACGTTATTTCCATATATGGTATGGCCATATATTTCCATACAATTATTTATTAGGAACCCCTGAGCTTAATTCCTTTAGGCCTATTAATTAATATATTAATGGGTATACCCAATGGATTCAATATATTAACTGTATATATATACAGCAGAGAGTGGATTATCCACCGTGGATATCCCGGGTTGACCAAAACTTCTTATCATACAATTTCCATATATGAGAAACTTCTTGTCATACAAATTCATACAATTCCATAAGTACAGAAAATTGTATGAAAACTCTATGATAAGCATTTTTCCATATATGAAAATTGTATGATAGGTGTTTTCCCATAAACCAAAAATTTTGATTTTTTCTTTCTAAATTTAGTTTCTGAAAAATTTGCGGTTGTAGTTGCAACCAAACACAAGTGACAAAGACCTTGGTTACTCAAAACACCAAAGGTTGGACGGTCTTGCATATACAATGCATAGAAAACGACCTGAATTTGGCTGTCTTTCACAATTGATATAACAAAAGTAACAAACTTATATTTTTTGGCAAAATTTTTTAATGATGATTATATTGAATTTTTGAATTTTCAAATTATCAGACATTGACCAAGGCGAACATTAACACACCATACAAAAGAAAGAGGAATTTTCAGCGTTTTTGAAAAAAAAATAAGTGAAAAGAAAATAAAAGCCAATTTTATCGTATCCAGGACTACGTTATGCACACAAAATATTAACTTTTGCATGCAGAAATTTTTTTTCGAAAAATGTTTGTTTGCGTACGAAAACCCATTTGCGGTTGAAAAAAAAAACAAAAAAATTTTTGGGCCAAATTTTCAAAATTACTTAAAAAAGTTTTTGCGTCGCCATCAAAAAAATGCCAGTCATACAATTTCCATATATGGGAATTGTATGATAAGCATTGTTTTCAAAAAAGGCAAACCTCAGTTTTTTATCACCAGATTGTTTTATTAGAATCAAATAGCCACAGAAATGAGTTTATACCAGTTTTCAACAATTTTTAGAAATTGTATGAAAATTGTATGACAAGCATTTTCCCACACACTTGATGTATGGAATTGTATGATAAGCATTTTCGGTGTATGGAGGTCAACCCGGGATAATAACCTCAAAATATTACACAAACAGTGTGGCACCGAGGTACCCCTGTTTGTATGCTATTTATATTGGTTTATATATGTCATCATTTACACATTGTCATTCTTTATCATGTCCCCATCTTGCATTATCAATTATGTAGTGTCACCCATACAATGTCACCCCACTTACATTCCTTCATCCATGCAATGTATGATGTCATACATTGTCTTTCATCGCATTCGCCTTTATGATACTTCTAGTAGTGGTGCCTTACTCTAGCGCGCTTGCGTGCTAGAGCTCACATTCATTTCACATTAATTATATACCAGCCATGGCTAAATCTGGCGATGTGAAGCCGAAAGCTCAGACCGTAGTTTTTTCTCAAGACAGTGTTTACGCGGTGAGAGTGTAATCTTAAGTCTTGTGTTGCTAAAGCATTGACACTCAGAATTACTGAGTCTTCGACAGTTTGATACAAAGTACATCGTCATTTGTACATTCACGAGTACGTGTCACTCGCCAGGTTAGCATTACTAGCGCTCTCATTTCATTCAATTTCTCTGATTCACTCTTGATGTTTTTTATACGATTTACAAAGAAACGAGATTCCATGTCTTGCTAGTTTTCCTTTGTGGGAGGTTTTAGGAAAATAGGGTAAGGTCAAAACGGCATGTACTATTAACATTAATTTCCTTTAATTTTTCAGTGAATATGATATCTACTAAATAGAGCAAAACCTTCCTGATGCCCGAGTTTTATGGTGACTTTTCAGATGGCCGAACATGCTAAAATACCTTTTTTAACTGATTGCATATTATGAATCATTCTGGCAAAGTTTTGAAATCCCCCTTTTCCTCAAATTGATTGCCGCTTTCTGACAAAACGTCTTTCCACTACATTTGATATTTGATGCGCCTCGATCAGCACGCAGCTGAATTATTACTTGAATTTAACCGACAAGGTATTGCAAAATAATTTTTACGTGAAGATGGAAAATTGATTTTGGAAGAAGTGAGCTATAAATAATTGGGTCAAAATAAATGTAAATTGTGATATGAAGTTTTTTTTTACTGAAACCGTTGTTTTTTATTTGCTCTCAAAACAAACTAGAAACATGAAAGGCAATAGTGAATTTGCAATAGTGAATTTGCAATAGTGAATTTGCAATAGTGAATTTGCAATAGTGAATTTGCAATAGTGAATTTGCAATAGTGAATTTGCAATAGTGAATTTGCAATAGTGAATTTGCAATAGTGAATTGGCTTTGCAATATATTTATTGCAATGAAAAACTATTAAAAACTGATTGCAATATATTGCAGTACTATTGAAGGTGAAAATTACAAAAAATGTAGTAGTTGTTTCACAATTTAGATAGGGTTTATCACCAATTTATCCTAGTATTATCCGGCACAATATTGACCGAGTGTCAGAGGGGGAGGAGGAAACAGCAGAGGAAATACAAGAGGAAGGGGGCAAGCCAGAACGTTCAGCGGTAGAGGAGGACGATCGGACACAACTACGTCGGACAAACTACGTCGGGGAAGAAGTGGAAGAAGACGACCTTAGTTGGGCTGAAGAAATGGAGCAAAGCATCGAAAACGAGAAGGATCAGCAAATCAATATAATGCAAGACGGGTCCGCACATAATAAACTGTACGTGGACCTACTAATAAATTGGAAAAGTGTTCGGTTCCAAGTGGACACGGGAGCCCCCGTGACAATAGTATCCAAGAAAACGGCTTTGAAAGTATTGGACATCAAATA